TATCAAGCTTAAAAAATAACACTTGTGTTCATATGATAGAAGTAACATGAACACAATGGTTCATGATTCATAAAAGTCGGTAATATGACAATACGAAAATGRRTCGTGCATGTACTTCCATTTGAACATGTGAATTAGGTACATATTTTAATAATTAAAAAAATAAACTATCAATACAAGATGAATTATAAAAAACACAACACATCGTAATAAACATAATTTCGATTAAAACAAATCTAAAAAAATAAAAAATATATTACCAAGACATTCGCTTTGGTTAATTTTTTCAATTCCCGGCCTCGAACTCCGATTGTCATCATACACCATTTTAATCTTCTCACTGTTGTCGATTTATTTTCCATTGCGTTTATCCATACTAGCTTGATCGATACCGAAATTTTTTATTACCGTGTTTTCTATGCGAATTAAATACTGATAAAACAATGAAAATTGAATATCAAGATTAAAAAATAAAAATATTAATATTATAAATGTATATTATTTGAGACTTGATGATTTGTAACTCCCTATTAATTGTTTGGGAGTTATATATCAAATCAATTTACTGAAATACCCTTGTAATTAAAATGTGAACATGATATAAACCTACAAGAAGAATGAAATTTGATTGGTTGCCATGGTTTTCAAAGTTAACACAAAATTGTTGGTTAACATTTGATCTTCCCCCTATATATATATATATATATATATATATATATATATATATTTGCAAAATCTCATTGTTTTGTTGGTTAGTTCATTGCTTTTCACAAATGAGGTTCTGGAAATGACACTAACGAGATTATAACTCGAGTCTAGGATGGAAGAAAAGTTTTGCAAACCAAATCTACCAAGAGAAACTTGTGTTCTCATTGTGATTTCATAATATATACGTTGGCACACAACAAATTAATAAGGTGATATTTTTTTTACAATCTTATAACTTTTTACATTACGACAGGGAAGAATGAAACGATGACACACAAAAAAGAATCAACGGTTGTTTGTTTACCTCTTAATAGTACTATTAAGAGGCAATATCTGAATCGTTAAGAGGTTAATCGTGTTTGGCAAAAAAAGTCAACTTATTAATGGTTATAAAATTCTCTTAATGATTTTGAATCATGAGCCTTTCTTAACAATTTAATGTCCTAATCTAATTGTAAAAAATTATGTTTCATTTTGCACTATATCATGAGAGCCACTTAATTATTACGATCACTTAAGGGGTGTTTGAGATTGCTTATTTGAAACAACTTATGTTTTTCTACAAGAGTTCTTATTAACTTATTATAAGTTAGAATGATTTAACTTCTTAAAAAATTTCTTATTATCGGTTTGACACCGGTATAAGTTGTTTATCCAAACACTCAAACGTGCTTATTATCGGTGTCACACTGAAATAAGTAAATAAATTATTTTTATAAGCAATTTCAAACATCATCTTCATCATTCATCACCAAACCATTCAATAACTGTCAAACGTTAATTTAATAAAAAATAGTTATTTAATAAAAATTCCTTGCCGGCTTGCGTTTCAAAATCGCGAAAAACATTTCGTACTTTTCTCCCACTAATTTCCCTCCTCCTTTTCATAGTTTCATTTATTTTCTAGCGTTATAGAGCTTCTTGTATCTCCTTCTTGCTTTCAGCTTCGCCATTGATGAAGATATCTTTGTAAGTTTCTCTCATACATACCGCTTATAGTTTCTTCCCTTGAGTTATCCAACAATCGTCTGCTAGGGTTCTTGTGAGAAACATAAATGAATGTTAATCGAATCCTTCACTTGATTGAGTATTTAAAGTTGCAATTCGATAATATTTGATAGAACCAATTGTTTTACCATGATTTGGTGTAAGTTCTATAAGAATCCCTAGGAGGCAAGTCGAAAATCAATTTGGATTTCTGGATTTTGTTCATGAAAGCCCTTTCACTTGATCAGATGAAACAAGCATAGTATGATGGCTTAATCTAAAATAAACACCAATTTGTTTTGTTGTCTGTTACACGTAATAGAATTTTGGCATTTGTTCTGGGAATCGTGAGGGTTTCCTAGTGATTGCTTGTAGTCTATCAAACACAATAGGACCTATTCTAATAGATCATTAATCGTCTCATCTGATGTGCTGTCTGCTTCTGTTGATTGAGCTTTTGCTGAATATTTTTCTGTTTGCTTTTGTTGGTGGAATTTGATTGAAAAGATTACCTACCTATTGGTCTTCATTCTATGGAAACTGAAAAACCATAAGGTCCCGTTTGGATTGCAAGATTGGATTGAATTTGGAGGGATTTGGAATTGAATTTCATTCCAATCTGACGGTTTGAAGGATTTCCTGAATTTTGAAATCCCCCACAAACATAGAATTTCGTAAGATTTCTATCTAATAGTGCTTTAAAATATGTTGAAAACATTTTCTTTGTGATAATCAATTAATAAAAAGGTAATTTAATTGTTTATAATTTGTTTTTATAAATTATTTATAAAGAATGGAATTCAATTCCATTCCAAATCCTACAAACCAAACACACAAAAGACTCCAGATAATTCCAATTCTAGACCCTTCCATAAAATCCAAATCCTTCAAATGAAACACCCCTGAGTCCATTGGGTTCTTCTACATCACTAATAATGTGGTCTTTGATATTGGTAAGTTGGTCTCCATGTGATATGGCATTTTAGTTGTGGTTCTTTTACCTGGGCGGGTGCACTATACATCCTCCATCCAAAAATAAATTTCCACATTTCTATTTTAGTTTGTCCCAAAATAAGTGTCCATTTTCAGAAGTAAGTGCATACTTTCCAATTCTACCCTTATTTATGAGATAGAGAAATTCATTCCCTTAATAAGGGTAAAATTGTCAGTTAATTAATTAAAAGAGTGTAATAATCACACATTTCAAAAACTCTGTGCTTTTTTCATACTTCTCTGATATTTTCTAGTTCTTTAATGTAGCTTTGTGATTTTTATACACAGGAAGCTAGTATTGGAATCTTGAACACTGAAATAAGCGTAAATATGTTCAACTTGAGCAAATTGGAGCATACATTGCGACTGCAACCTCATCTTTTGGGCCTTCCGATCAATGAAGCAGTCAAGGGAGAGCTCGAGGGTCTTTTCTTGGATAAGGTTTTAATGATAGTTTTCTCAAATTCTTATATGTGTATATAAGATCATAGACAAAGGATCGTGTCAGAATAAGTGTTACGGCTAGAAGTCTAAGAAGGGTTTGGACCCTTGATCACTTTTAATTAGTGTTGATCTAATGGTTCAGATTTCTTAGCCGGTTGATTCTATTAGTTAGAGATAATTACGGATTTGATTTATATTTATCATTAATTATCAAGATTTGTATTGATTTGTTTTAGCCGATAGGGTTTCTTTGTACATACCCTATATATAGGGGTTTTCTGTTAWTGATGRADBCATSGAGTTTTGCAAACTTTTATGGTATCAGAGCTACGGCTTGATTACCATTCTCCTTCTTTATTTTTTTCCGATCCTCTGCAGCCCAAACAAACCCTTTCAACACATCATGACCAAACCTACTGACGCCGGACCCTCTAAACCAATTGTCCCCTCTCTTCACCCAGCCTATTCCGTTTCCAATATCCAATCCAAGATCAGAACCCTGGATGGTACCAAAGTTTCATACACCTCCTGGGTTAAACTCTTTAAATTCAATACTATTGTTTATAAAGTTTTGAATCATCTTGACGGTTCCCCACAGCCGGAATCAACGGATACGGAATATGCGGCTTGGAAAGAATTGGATGCACTTGTCTCCCAATGGATCTACAGCACTCTCTCCGACGACCTGCTCACCCGGGTCCTCGACATGGATGCCACTGCACATGACACCTGGTTTCGGCTTGAGAAATTTTTTCTCAGCAACAAACAAGCGAAGGCTGGTGCACTCGAAACCCAGTTCGTCAACCTAACTCTTGCAGCCTGCTCCTCAGTCGATGATTATTGCCCAACAACATGGCCTTTTGTTTCCTTTTTCTTGCCCACAAACTTCTTCCCAAAATGGCCGCTCCGAAAGAATGATTCGTCGTCTGAACGACATCGTTCGTTCCCTACTCATTCACGCCCATCTCCCCCCCCACTTTCTGGGTTGAGGCCCTCYACACAGCCACCTATCTCCACAACATACTACCTTCCAAACGCCTTAATTACTTTACTCCAACCTTCGCCCTTTACCTGCGTCACCCAACATACGATCATCTTCGTGTGTTTGGATGTGCCTGCTATCCTAATACCTCTGCCACTCAACCTCACAAACTTCACCCTCGTGCCATCYGATGCATCTTTCTCGGGTACCCACCAGATTTCCGGGGATACCGTTGCTTCGATCCTACCACCGGGAAGGTTTCCATCTCTCGTCATGTCACTTTTGACGAGACTGTTTTTCCCTATTCCATACCCACCCCTACCTCTTCATACTCCTTCCTGGATGACGACTCACCACCTGGATTCKCRTTTGCCCCTCGGCCCTCACCACTGCCCACACCACTGTTTCACTCCACGTCACCCTTTCCTTTCCACTATACTAGACGACCCAGACCTGCTGCAACTGCAGCCTCGTCCCCCCCCACACACGATCTGCTGCCACAGCAGGTCCACCACATTCTTCTGATGCCACGGCCGTCACGGGTCAGCCATCTGCTGCCCGAACAGCCCCCCCACACCCTACTCATCCTCCCACAAACACCCACCCCATGACCACCCGCTCCAAAGCCCAACACATTCTCCTTTCCACTACTATCTCACCCGTGCCTACCTCCTACCATAAAGCCTTTGCTGACCCTCATTGGTTACGTGCCATGCAGACCGAGTTTAGTGCCTTGCAGGTGAATGATACATGGGAATTAGTCCCTCGACCRGTTGATAGACCAGTCATACGTTGTATGTGGCTGTTCCGGCATAAGTTTAAATCGGATGGTTCTTTGGAACGATACAAAGCTCGGTTAGTGGTCAATGGAAAATCTCAGACAGTGGGAATTGATTGTGAAGATACCTTTAGCCCGGTTGTCAAACCGGCTACGATACGTACCGTTCTTTCGGTGGCTRTTTCTCGTTYGTKGCCTATACATCAATTGGATGTTAAGAATGCTTTTTTACATGGCCATTTGAACGAAACTGTGTATATGCAGCAACCACCAGGTTTTGTGAATCGTCAGTTTCCTAATTTTGTGTGCAGGCTAAAGAAATC